CAATAATAACCCAGGCAGCCTCACCATGCAGTCCAAAGGACACTATCGAGCCTAGATCTGCACAAGCTACTTCCTGTTCTAACCCTGCTCATAAAATCACCAGCTGACTCAGACTTTACACAATCATTCCTCTAAAAAACACCAGTTTCATTTACAGCGAAACGGTGACCAGGAGGAGTTACTCCTACTATCACACAAACAGAGATCAGACACCCGACGGCAGCAGACTTACTCAGGTGAGTTCTCTTATTTTCTGAACGCAAGTTTTGTTTAATTAGTATTTGCCGTAGAATTATTCCACACAAAGTGTTTTTTGTGAGTGTTTTGTTCTGTGTGTTACCATCGCTCCACCGCAACTCAACAAGGAAACGCTTTCTATTGCAACATGAAGCCTCACTAACATMAGATAAACTTACAAATACATTTGAATGAGGACGATGTATTCCTTCGTAATACTAACCTGATTCTTACTGATCAAATCATGAAAATAATAATTTGATGCATCTCTAGTTAATATATAGTATAGATTGAGAATGTAATGTATGGATGATTAATGTAAGCAATACATTTTTAAATATCTCTACAGGATGATGGAGAAGACAGGAAGAGTCATGATCTGCTGTGTAGCTCTGCTCCTTGTGCTGACCTCTGTGTCGGCTGTGCAAAGAGATCTTGATTCAATCGATGATTTGAAGAAAATCAACTTTGGTCAATCTGTGCCCAAACACAGTCTTGTGCTGCTCTACTGGTTTGCCAACGCAGTGGACATCAATTCGTACGGCGACATAAGCCTGACTTTTGGCCCGTACAGTAGAGATTATGGTTCACATCATTATGGTAACTTTGAGGAGCTGTTGGACCCACTGCCTCGGGGAAATGTATACCAGTACTACACTGTTGGCAGTCTCAATCAAGGAACATCCATGCAACTTCCTGATTATGTTGTGCGTCCCCCAGCAAGAGAGTATGAGGGAAGTAACAGAGACAGGATCATAATCCGTGTCAGGGAGCAGAACACAGGACGTAGAGCTTTGCAGAGGATAGACCAAGTTTATATCACACAGCATATTCACCAGGAGGGGGAATATGATCCAGATCATACCTACAGGATCACTACTAACCTCTTGAGACAGATCAGAGAGTTTTCAGGTGGACAAAACCAACAGCAACTGTTGCAACTCAGAAACCGCTTCAGAAGCAACGCTGATCTTTCCCACATCACAAACACATGGGGTGCTAACCTTGCTGGCCTTGGACTGCTGCTGCTGCTTATTGTGATGCAGGAAAGTTACTCTAACCAACAAAACAGACCAGCAACCAACAACAGACACGCAAACATGCAAAATAATGGATGGGATGATGCTTTGTTGAAGCGCATTCTTTTTGCATTTGTTTTGATTGTTATTTTCATATGTATGCTCTCATCCAATCCGGGACATAGATAAGAAAGTTACGACACCTCAGTACTCCTGAACAATGGCCAGGGGTATTTCTTTGTTTTGCCTCCACGTTTGATTTCATTCTTGACTATATTATCGCTTTTGTAAATGGGGTTCAGTTAAAATGGAGATGTATGCTTGGACTGCCGTTGTATATTGTGATCGAAGAAAAGTACAGACAGAGAAAATAATTGTAATTATTGTACTTGGATTCTTTTATCCATCTTTATTGTCGCATGCATTATATTTTTGATTGCCAAATCCAAGGTGTGATGGGAGTGCATCTCAAAAGAGAACGACACCTCATTGTTCTGTTCTCTGGTGTTGTATATTTTGTTTGACGTCAATATTTTTGTATTTTATTGTGTACTATATAAGCTTATTTTGTAAACGTTGAGTTAAGACTGAGATATAGGCTCAGTATGACATGCTTGTGATAAAAGGCCAAAAGTCCCCCTCTGTGATGAAGGGCTGAGACTATTCAGTTTTTCAGTCCCACCAAGTCGGTTAGTCAACGTTATTTCAGACTAAACTCTGTTTTTAATCTTCCTCACCAAGAGATGTTCATATGTTAAAGAAGAGGAAGAGGACGGTTTGGTGTTTGCTTGAACTGAAACCCTGCAGACTTTAAACTCCATGTCACTGTTTGAGACATCTGCTGTAAAACAATTACAAAAACATGATAGTTTACATTTCTCATAACAGGAATAAATAAAGTGCATTTCATTTATGGTTTTGTATTCTTTCTGTAGTGTTTGAAATTGTGTTAACAGCCAGACTGATGTCAGTGTTTTTATTTTAAGTTCAAGGAAACTGGATGAACACAAGCTAGATATGCAAAAACAGGAAGTCAGGTCTGTTTTTCCATGCGTCATGCAAAACACACACAAACACACACTTTAACGATTTAGCAGCAAGCCATTTCCATCCATTGTGACATGCACAAGTTCTCGTTTCTTGCCAAGTCCCAGGCAGGCCCATCAAAAGGCCTTTATGTTTGTGTGAAAGAGACGAGTGCTGTTTAAATGTGGCGACACCAGGATAGCAGTCAGCAGGCCAGCACAAGACCCAGCAGATCAGAAGATAATGAGTCATTAAAAACTGTTGCTGACTCAGCTTTAATTATAACTGTAAATCAAAGGTTCCTCTAAAGACTGACGGAGTTCAGAGCCAATATTGAATAACAAACAGGCACTGCTGTTTGATAGAAAACACAGCAGACACTTACAATCAACCATTCATAATTCATGAGGAAGAATGGTAGTCTGCAGAAACCATCTTATTCACCAAAAAAAAAAAAAAAAAAAAGTTTTTTGGTTTTGTGTTGATAAATTGACTTATTCAACACTGAACTGAAACTTAACATTTGTGTTGTTCACTCTCTCACTTCCAGTTTACTCTACGAGCATTCTGGGACATGTACTGACCCCAAACACATCTTAGTTTTTTTAAATCAATAAATAATTAATAATAAACAAACTTGTTTTGTCTGACCAGCAGTCCAAAACTTAGAGATCTTTATTTTGAAATGATATAGAACAACGCAGAAAATCAGCAAAACCAGAGTCTATGTGCCGTTATGCTTTTTTAAACAAAATCATTTTATAAAATAATATTAAAATTGTTGCTTACTATTTCAGATTATTTCACACATGACACACACAAGACATAATGCTACGCTCAAATATGAGGGCAGATAAAAGTGTTATCGGCACTTACAACGCACGACTCCACAGCCCAACAACAGGACTGTGTTTAAGTGAACTAAATAGAGCACATTGCATCAAGGTGCCTTGTGCAACTTCCCCATCATGCTTCCCTGGATCAACTCACCTCTTCATATAGCCCGGCAGTTGTTGAATTAAAATTCAACGGGTATATATTTGCAAGTATCTTCTAAAAGGAGCTTAACACCATTCTTTTTGGACCAGTAAAACAGTGGGGAATTACTTCAAATTACTTCCCGAGATCACACAGTGGTCAGTGTCGGTGCTGAGAGGGCGTGGGAGGATGGAAAGGGAACGGATTATGTTGGCACCACTCGCACAAACGCACACACTCACGTGTGTAAGCAAAGCAATGCCTTTCTAATGCAGCCAGCTTACCATTTATGACAATGTAAACAGTAGATTTAGCACAATGCTACATGCGATGTAATGTGTAATACAGCAAGTCAAGGCGTGGGACAGGAAACTAAGATGAGCAGCGTACTGAACGGATGAATGTGTGCATCCGTCTGTACACATGGGGTCACATCCTGTTGAAGCACAACAAGACGTTATGCAGCTGCTCATGATTAGCCAACAAATCAACTGAAAAACACGGAGCATGTCATACAGCACCGTGCGCTTTACGACAGCCGCCGCATTCTGAAGCCCGTCATCTGTGCGAGGATGAATGCATACATTGAATACTTGTATGCGAGCACAGAGACACTAACGCACTAGGAGCCCAGAGGCAGGCAGATCTGAAATGTCACATGAGCCCTCAAGCAACAGTCTAATTGTCCAAATGGGACACATAAAAAAAAAAAAAAAACACACCGCCAGCGTCCCACTGGATACTGTGCTGATAACAGCAGTAAAAGTAAACAGAGAAACAGACTGAAAACACTCTCAGGTTCCCCTTCTAAAAAATACACAATATGAAAAAAAAAAAAAAAAAAAAAAAAAAAAAGAATGTGCCTGAATCCGTACTGTGTGTACTTGTTGAGGAAATGGAAAGTAAATTGTAGTTTTGGACAAGTCGTCAAAGCGGTGTGGTCTGTCAGTTTAGTTTTACTCCCAAATGACTGGAGGTTAAAGTGGGCTTCTCTAATTTTGTTTTCTTCCAAGAGTCAGAGTCAGAGTCTCCCTCCCTCCCCCCCTCCCTCTCCCCCCCCCCCCCCCCCCTCCCCCCCCCCCCCCCCCGACCGAGCAGAAAGGTGGTAATCTGAGCCAAATGTGGCTGAAGTTGAGACTTAATCCTCTCACTTTTTCTTGCTTATTTTCCCCTTCTACAGACACAAGGCCACATTTCAGACATTTTGCATGCATATTTGCTGACTGATTCACCAATACCTAAGACACTACGGGAAAGAAATAGCCTCAGCCAAAGGCAGAAATAAATGAAAGCCCTTGCCGTCTGCAAAGGAAGTGCCGTGGATGGAGAGAGGAAGAGAGAGAAACAGACACACGGCGTAAAAAGTGGAAATTGGAGGCTTTCTATTTTTGTGTTGAATGTTTTATGACCTCCACATTTGGAATGCATCGCCTCCCAGCCGCCCACGCCTGGATACTACTGAACCAGGGCGAGCAACCCATGAGCACAGCTGTCTCCAGATAACAGTACACACACGCGTACAAAACAAGCAATTCGGATTGGCTAATGGTTGAGGAAGGAAACGGCACAAACAACCTGCAAGAGAAGTGGAGATCTAGAAGCCACCGCACACAAAGCATCACAAATAAACACACACGTTTGCCAGCGTAACACAAACTCTATTACAGCCTCCTCGTGAATCAACACAATGAAAAGATAAAAGCATGCCGCTGAAACTGTAACATAACCTATCCTCCATAATCTTTGCACCTGCAGTTCTACTAAACCAAAAATGAAAAAGACTAAAAGCTTAGAGGCCTGCAATGTATTACACAGATTAAATAAACAGATGGACAATTTAGGTATTCACAGAACTTTGCCAGTAATTCAGATAAAAAGAAATGCAGAGTTTGTCCTGAGGGTGGCGCTAAAAGAAAGGTCATGGGGTGAACTTAAATATTAGATTTCATCAATAGTGCCCTCTCTGCACTGCTTAGATTTTGGACAGATTTAGTGTTGATTTACATAATGTAAAAAAAAAAAAACCAAGTATAACTTCTTATGCTACAAAAGTCAAGCAAACAATCAACAGACAAAATAAATTAAACACACAAAAGGCCAAAATGTATCTAACAAACTTGCTGTGTCACTAGCATCTTAATATTAACTGGTTAATGCACTTACTGCACATTTAACACACAAATACTGTAAACTGCAAATCTCTATTTCAGCTAATCTGAATTTATAGTGATTTTAACGCAGCCCTGGGATTCTCATCATCACCCTGCCTGACCTACATTCACAGTTAGTCTAGACTAGTCTTGCATAACCAGACCTATCACCACAGCACTGTGTCAGCACTAAACAAAAGGTCTGGCTCCACACGTTATCAGTCTGGTATAGGGGGGGGGAAAGGGTCCTGCTTGTTTCTATTTCTTTAAACCAATCACAATCTGAGCACAGGATGGAGTTACGATGCCTCTGCAAAATAGATAGCGGAGATAACAGAAGGGGAGGAGAGTGCCGGAGGAAATAGGCTGCCAATGGCAGGATTATTCATTTAGTCCATTAAAAAAAAGAGTGTGTGACAGCGATACCACAGCAATGCACCTCATGCCGACGTTCACATCTGGAAGCGTGCCAAGCGGCTTTTGTACAGTCTTGTCTTTACCCGTTAAGTCGTTATTCATCATAACCTGCAGCTGATTTGCAGGGTCCTGATGATGTCTTGTTGATGCACGATGACAATCACCAAAACTGAGTCTGTATAATTGGATCTTAACTTGTCTTGCTTCATTACCAGAATAGGACTCCTATGCAATGGTGTACAATTTTTTTTTCTCTTGGTCCCGACCAAATGAACCGACCTACAGGTGTGAAATCACCCTTAATGTATGTAAACAGGCTAGAGAAGATCACAACAACAAATATAGCTTATCCTTGGCAGCTGTTTCACACACACAAGAGCGAGGTTATAAAACATGCTGAACTGAGCAGGTACTCACTGTCTGTTGGTCGGGCTGTGGGTGGCTCTGCGACCGGGGACTGCATCCTCTCCACCCTTGGCTCAGTCAGGGAGGGCAGGGGAGTACTAGGTGCAGGAGGCGGCTGGTGGTTGTTGTTGTTGCTGTTCTCCACTGCTGCACCGCTTGGCACCAAACCGTCCGGCTGCCTGAAGACGGGCATCTCCGGCCTCCTCGAGGCCCCCTCGACCGGGCTGATGCTCGGGGACGGGGGCTCTGCTCTTCTCTGAGGGGGCTCGGGGATCCTCGAGATCGGGGCCGAGGACAGCTGGGCGTCCACCCTCTTGGGAGGGGCGGGGGGCTCGTGGGGCCGCGTCATGCTGAGCTCTGCCCGCTTGCTTATGGAGCTAGAGGTGGAGTTGGAGGAGCTGTCCAGTGGAGTACTCCGACTGCTCAAACTGACCTCAGGGCGCTTGAGACCAAAGCGGGCGATGCCGGCACTAGGTGAGTTGTCAATCTGCTTAGAGGAAACCTCAATGGACATCTCTGTGCGGCGGGACGAGGCCGCGTCAGGGTTACGACCCCCTGGCAACTCCATGCGCCTCATGCCGGTCTTTGGGGAGCGTGGGTTGGAGGACTCGGAGGGGGAGGATCTGGAAGAGGAGTAGTCGGAGTTGCGGGAGCTCAGGTCGTAGCTCCGCTGGCTGGATGTGGAGGAGGTGGATGAGCGGAGGGGGTTGGTGTTCCGACGAGTCAGGGGTGAAGAGTGTGCGGATGAATCCGTCTCCTCCACCTCAAACGACCGCTTCAGTGCTGGGAAAACACAGAACACAGAACATTTAATAATAATATTAATGTTCGTGGTTAGACTAGAAACTATTAGACCATTCAGATGCTGGTGCTGGCTTGAGATCTGTATGATTTTACTGTCGTCATTATTAATGCATTTTACGATTATTTTGCAAAACAAAAACACAGTTTGCCTGACTTTTTACTGAAGACACGTGGTGCAGCAACTCAAACCAGAAGCAGAACAAGATGTGCTTTGATTTTAAATCAGAAAAGGAAGAGAATGCTTAACAAAAGCCCAAAAACAATATGTTGACTTATTTGTTGTGTGGGAGCAAACAGAACATACAATGCAACTGAAGATGACAAGCAGTGTGCACCACATACGGTAGCTATAAGGACATAGTGGCAAGTCATATACAAAACGCAGTTTCTATCGCTTTACACATTGTTGTAGCTAATAAATCGCCCAATATAAACTCCAATTGAATATGCTAATCTTACCGGTTTTGACACGCTTCACATAGCTCGACAGCATGACGTTTGTAATTTCTAATTGGCTCGGGAGAAGAAAATTCCTCTAATCCAGTTTTAATAATGACGTCAGGTCCAAACACATACAGCACTGACCGAAAAGAAGGTATTTCTGATCCTCGCGACTACAGTTTATGAAACTACACGGACGTCTTCTCTTGATATGTTACGTTACGCAGACACCTCGCGCACCTGTAGCCCTGACGGCTAACGAAATGACCACGCCTCGCGCGCGTTCTAATTTATTGATCGCGTAACCGCTGATCCACATAACTTTATTTCATTCACGGGGGAACAAACCAAACGTAATTTATAACTGACCAAGATATTATGGAAAACTTTTGTTATGGTGTTATATCAACATGCACTGTGTCTTTGAGACAGCGTATTTGTTTGGTTGATATTTAAAGCACTCTATAACAAATACATGAATATATGAGGCCATAAATGTACTGTTTTAATAGGGGGACTTTTGTTTTGTTATGCAATGGTATATAACAAAAAAGCATATTCTGTTTTTGGCTTTGTGTGTTATTAGTTCACAGTAACATTAAATGTCATGTTTGATATGCTGCTGCTTTGAAAAACAAAACAAAAAAATACATTTAAAACTGCAATTTTAAATAATTTTGAAGTGGTAGCACCAACACATTTATTTTATCGTAAGTCACACCAAACATTTTATCAAACCCATTCCCACACTGACTAGCCCTCTCCCTCCATATGAATTTAAAGTGCCAATATTGTTGTTATCGATGTTTGCTAAAAAGCTTTCTTCTCTGGCAACAGTGAGCTCCATGTCAGATGTGAGGTTGACTCCAGGCTCACCTCAGCTCCGCCCGGAGGACAGAGCAGCTACAAACCCTGGAGCAACACAGCCTCTGTCCCAGATAAACATCGGAGCCTGCGCAGGCGTGTAGCCTGCTTCAAGGCTGGCGGGCCAAGCACCAGCATGGGAGAAGACCCTCCTCCTGGAACTTACTGCTTCCACATCCTTTGTATGTTTTATCAGGTTTCTGTGTGTGATATCAGAGGGTCTGCTGAGAAGCAGGCAGCTGCTGGCTGGAAACGTCCACTGGGTGCAAATTTGAAACACTGGCTTTAACAGCAGACTGAGTAATCAATAACATGTATTGCACTTTGGCCTTTTGTATAGGCCCTGGTGTAATGTGTCCTCAAATGTCTTTTGTTGATTTGCCTCAGTAAGTCCTCTCGAATACAGAATACCGTAAAAATAAATTCCTGTGTGTTAACTGTATGTGGCAATTTTGGCACTTCTTTATTACACCACTGAGCGACAGGGGAAAAAATAGAAAGAGAGGTGATGACAAAAAAAAACGTGTTACTTAGATTCAAAATCTCATTGTATAGTTTGCTTCTCCACCATCACAGATAGTTTCATCCTTCTCTGAAACAAAGCTCTTTGTGTTGCTCAAATGAAATAATTTAATTTCATTTGAGAAAACTGGCTTTAAAATGTTCCCAGAAGACAGACTTGTCTTCGTCTTTGTGCTATGTTCTTCTTTAAGTAGAAGAAAAAAAGACAGTCTCAATGAAATTATATGTAAAATTCACTGGATGGCGTGGTAAAGGCCTTCGACATGGATAAGAATGTGTTGCCAATAAAGACAGGAAACGAACCACAAATGGTGCATCTAATTTACCGAAGCTATTTCTCCCTCCGGCCTTTAATGAACATTACCACGCACTGTTCATGACGGGTGATGCTCAGCTTTTAAAGGGCAAACGCTTGAGCAGTAAAAGACCATTTAATATGCAAAAGCATATTCAAAGTGCCACAGACCACTTTAATTTGTGTTAGACTGTGATTGTGATATAATGACCTCCTTTGCCTGGAACTGTGCAAACTGTGTGGTGTGTGTGCCTGCTCTGTGGCGACAGAAGAGCCCGACACAGTGAAGCCCTCACAGACACAGTGGAGACAGAGGCCCTATCAGTTATGTTTCCATCTCTCTCTCTCTCTCTCTGTATGTATATGTGTGTGTGTGTGTGTGTGTGTGTGTGTGTGTGTGTGTGTATGTGTGTTTAAACGCAGCTGTAGAGTAAAGCAAACACAGCCTGGTCGCCCCTGGTTAAAGCCAAACTCTTTGCCTCTGTTGACGTCATAGCGCACTGCATCATGGGATCTGTGTGTGCATGAATGAAGGTAGATGGGGAGGTCACACATCGATATCTCTCCCTCCGTTACTTGCCTTTTTAAAAAAAAAATAGCTGTACAAATGCGATTTTGTTATCAAGGATAAAACCATTTGATGTCTCCAAGCTGCTGTATGCTGCTGCTGCTCTGAGGCGATAGCAGTGATCGCAGCCATTCCAACCAAGCTGAGATAATACTAATGAGCACCAATGTGATCCAAATGTCAACATTAGTCCTCTCTCTCTCTCTCTCTCTCTCTCTCTCTGCGGTAGCTCTCCCTACCTCTCTTTACCTCTCATTCAACCTGGAATTGAAACCTCATTAATCTTGGACTCACATTCTCAGAGAAACTTGCTTGCGGACTGAACTGCCAAATAAGGAAGACATTGCGGCCAAGCATAATGTTTTTCAACTAACACACATTGAAACATGATTAGACCGCCAGAAAAACACATGATGGTACTGTTCTCCAGTGTAGCATGTACTGGATGAGCACCACACGGACATTCTCTATGCCTCTCTGAGCATGACAGATGAGCCGTCTCTTGTCTTCAGTGGTGGGGGGAAACTGAGTATTGCTACAGTATGAGTAAGGAATTATGTCAAACTGCTAACTAAACATACTGTGCTATCACAAGCAGCATCATACAACATATGGTATACTCTGCAAAATCCGTTTTGATACTATTTCATGATCGTTTTTTAGCAATAGGCTCAAAGTCATAACTTGTTAAACCTTCAGCTAGCTTCACATTGCCTTAACATGCATGTAATACTGCGTAACTGAAAAAACATTTTATTTCGTTACAAACCTCACAGTTTGTTCACTCGCCCACAACCATGTCAGAGCTCTATTAGTTTACTGCTAATGCAAATGCAACATGTCCCACTGCTGCTGCTTCACATTAAAAGCATTTAACTGGCAAAACACAGGATGACTTTAAATTGTGAAGCGGTCGCGGGGAAGCGTAAAGAAGTCGTCAGCGAGGGTACTGCTGACCGTGACAAGATTTGTGGGTAATGGAAAAAGAAGCAACACTTGAGGACAATAAGCTGTTAGATGAAGAGCTGCACGCTCTCTGTAAAAAAGTTCAGTAGTTTACCACAGTAGCCTAAAAAAGGTCAAATTGTGCTTTGGACCACTGGAATTGGGGTATTTGGCCCTTACATATAATCTTAAAGCCCAATTTTCCTTCCTGGAAATGTCTGCCACAGTTGTCAAACATTCTTTTACGTTTTTAGAATTTACTTTCCATTCCCTGCAGAAAAAACAACAACGTTCTACTCAATGTACAAAAGAAAACCTTTCAACGCGGGCTCTTTGTTTTTAGCCGTAGCATGGAGCCTGTTGTTAACTCTGGGGTCTTGCCTGGGGTTGGCATCAGTGCAGATTTCACTCCGCGTGTCCAACAGTGAGAAAAGCAGCAAGGACTAGCTTTGAATCCCAACAAAGACCTGCAGTGTTCACTCCTCCTCAGAGTGACCCTTGGTGCTTCCCAGCAGCTCTGATGCTGTTGGCGTCATGAGCAGGAAACCTGTCCGAGCTGGTGAGTATAGAGCGTCCTGATAATGCTGATAAGGATGGAGACTCCCGAGGACGGCTATCATCAGCCTGTGTCAGGAGACACTTCCTCCCTCTAACACACAAGCTACGTCTATGAGGCTCCTCGTGGCGTTTTGTCACAAGACTGACCTCACACTTTCACAGTTAATGGGCTGTTCTTTGGCATATTTATACCAAAGCTTGTTAATAGCACAGTTTCAGTGTATTACGGGTAACGGTGCACCAACTAACTTAACGGAGTTCCTGAAAAAAAATCCAAAACCACAGCTAAGTGGCAGTTCTCATTTCAAAAGGCTTTTGCAATCCTACTATGATTCTCAGTCAAACCATAAAAGATTATTGTACTAAAACAAAGTGGGTCCTCTAATTTAGAAGAGATTGTTGAAATTGTCCTGTATATGATTCAGGAGCAATTAGTGAAAGCAGCAACCTGGAATGACAAGTTTCTTTTGAATGTTTCAGGGTTAAATGTTTCACGTGGCCTCTTTGTAGATGATAAATGCGCTGTGCTCAGATCCACTCCTCCACTTCTAACCCCGACATTTTCCCCAACCACAGAAATCAACTCCTGTGGAATTTCCTTTCACTGGACCAGTGAATGCCCTTAACATGCAGTGTAGAGAGACAGAGAGGAAGGCAGGGAAAGAAATGAAAGTTTAGAGACTGGCAGCAGTGGCAGTGTTTGGGTTCCATTGCTAGAAGTTGAAATATCTGGTTCATATCCGTTTGATGGGATATTTAACCTATAGCTTAACGTTTCACTATGATTAACCTGAGCGGGAAACACAAGAGGCTATTTGCAAGACAACAGGCCTCTTTTCAAGGAGCTGTAAAAATGACGCCGTATGAATGAGTGTGTTCATTCTGCTGAGCGGAAGACCCAGTGGCCCGGTCGATGATCTGAGTCAGTCTGTGAGGTTGAAGTCGCAGCTGAGGTCATCAGCCTCATGGGCAACAAAATCCTGTCCTCTGTCTCTTTCAGCCTCTCGCTGGCGTCATCAGCTAAGGGCACGATAGACTGAATCACAATCAGACAGCAAATAGACACACTGTTACACGACTAAACTTCCTGCTTTCGTTCACAAGTCAACTGAATAGTTTACAGTAGCACTGGCTTGCACAAGTGTCACATTCGTTTTTGCTTTTTCAAGAGCTCTAATAATAACAAGCACATGATGTGAATGTATTGCATGCACAACTTTTCACTCATCAAAATGTAATAAGATGACTGCGAGCAGTGAGGCTAGTCAGCATGTTGATAGTGTGAAAGATTCAAGAGCAAATATTCCCACCATGCACTTATATATTAGATTAAGAGTGCACAAATAATGCAGCCATAGAAAATTACTCAAAAATAAAGAGGCTTTCAGTCATATACTATATGTTATTTAACACATTAACAAAGTAAAAACTGGAAAATCCTGCATCTGTAACCTAACTTAAATATTATCCAGACAATGTATTTGCTTAACAGCGGCAAACGTGACCACGTGAATGTAAAACAAAGTGGAGAGACTGACTCTGTATTATCCATTATACAACAGTATCTATCAAATGTTTGCTTACAGTAGCCACCATAAGCTACTTGTCATACCAGACCAAGTAAGGCAGTGGCAGCAACCTCCCTGTTTCTCCTTTCAATAGTTGTATCGCCTCGCCTTAAAATTAGAAAGCTAGGTGACTAAAAGTACAAAGTCTTTTTGGAGGATGAATCTGAGTGACATTTACTTGATTATGATATGGACTCAGTGAAAAGGCCAGTGCGGCATCATAATAGTAACCATTTTGATATGAGTGAATATATTCATAACAATGCTTTCTGCAGATGGCCTCAAAGGAGCAAAGTTGAGCCAAGGAGCCATCTTTTCTAGTTTTAGTGTCTAATCTCATGTCTAATCTCATGAAAGCAGAGTTTTTGATTTTAGAATGTGTTAGAATAAAAAAGAGCCCATGGCGAAGCTAATATTTTACTGTAAGGCGAGAACTTTACTTTCTGACCCTGATGCTTATCAACCTGCTGAGGACTCACGCTCCGCTGCATCTGTCCCATGCCGTCCTCACCGAGCCACACAGGGCCATACATCATGGTGCATGGTGGTGACACAAAGGTATTACCACCCACTCAGCCCAACCACGGGCAACACACACCACTGACAATCACAACAGTGAGCCGTTATGTTGGTGTTACACATGAGCGGGGGGCCGTCTAAAAGCATGACTTGCAGCCACATGGATGAAGCCCACTTTCTCGCTCCTGATGCCCCTCTTTTCTGAACGCCACTTATCTTTCTGCTCTGTTGCACTGTGTAACCCGGCGGTTTAAAGACCTAAAGGGAGGAAGAGAGATTCACAATACATACCACGAGCAAACTGGTGTTGACAGAGGAGCAGCTCCGAACAAGTGCGGATGCGTTCCTAATGGCTATGTGTTTGTGAGAGACAGGAGACAGATAGTCAGACAGACAGACAGGTTGAAGGGGGGGGGGGGGGGGGGGGAGGCCTGTCAAACAACCCCCACCCACCCTACTCGCATCCAACAGCAGCCCAGGCCAAGGGGAGAGGGGCTGAGGATGGACGAGCTGCTGAGAGAGGAAAGAGGAAGCACAGCCGTTGGACGAAGAAGTGAAGGAGGAGGACGAGTGGGAGGAGAGGGATGACAGCGGGAATCTGTGGGCCAGGGGCTGAGAGATGAAAAGGAAGAGGAGAAGAGGGAAGAGAGGGGGGGGGGTGTGCCAGGTGTTCCCCTCACAGCCGTATGGTCAGTTGCCGTCTCCTGGGAGCTCAACGTATGGCCTCTCTGTCATGCTCTTTAAGAGAGGCTAAATCAGTTGCACGCCTTTTTCCTGAATGCACCGTTTCTCTCTTTGACACATCTCAGATACACACACCACACCCACAACAAATGCATCACAACAGTGAAGGAGACATATAAAACAACACTTTTAGCATGATTTCCCTTTCAACAACACCACAGCTCACCGCTAGACGTCAACGAGACTTTCACGCTCGCTGTTTTTTTCCAGATCCGCTCGGTGCCAATCACACATGTGGAAACCATCTATGGTGTCCTCATGGCAGGGTTAAAGAGTGCCTCGCTCCACGGAGGGACAAGAAGAAGAAAAGTGGCAGAGCAGCAGAGCTCAAGACAGACAGAAACTAACCTTCAAAGTCTGATATGATCCCTTCCAAGTGAGCGTTGACAGTGGAATCAGACATTTTGGGGAGCAAGTGAGTATGTGCAGGTTTGTATAATGCCAGAGAGAGGGAGCAGGGTTCCCTTTCCCCAGCAAGGAAAAGTCTTCTTGAGGCGCAGTCCTGCTTTTAAACAAATCCCAAATTAGGAGCCCATGAAAGAGAGAGGAGGGGAGGGGGAAAAAACAAAGCTGAGCAGCTCACTGATCCAAACCCTCTCTCTATCTCTCCTCTCTTTCTTAAAGCAGCAACTTATTTTTCTCTTCTTCTCCTTCTCAACTTCCAGAGCTTGGAATGAGCGAGCGATGACAACCCCCCACCCTCCCTCTCTCTCTCTCTCTCTCTCTCTGTCTCTCTCTCTAGCTCTCTGTCTTCCCTCCCCCCCTTTTCTCCTTCCCTCCATACCTCCCTCCCCTTCTGCAGCCGTCCTCTCAGACTGGTTCCTTTCTGTGAAAGCTCCCATTTTTGACTGGGCCGGTCAAAGTATAAACATGCAACATTCAATCGCACTTCCTGTAGGCTCGATCACATGACTAACACACTCGGGGCAACTGATGAAACACATGGATAACTGAGTTTTTTTTTAAAGCCTTATTCTGTCCATTATGCCAACATTCTATCATCCTTTAAGCACATAAATCAGCACACTTACGTAAAGTCACATAGAAAAAAGTCTCCATCCAAACGTATCTTTACGTGGATGAAGTGAAAAGTTACAGTAGATAGATAAATAAATCCAGAGTGGAGACAGAATCATACTATGGACTAATATGGTCAGGACATACTCTCCCAGGCGGTTAGAAGATCGCCTGACATGCTCAGTCGCTCTGGAGGCAGACATCAATAAATAAGTAGCCTAATGACTTAATGACCATGTGAATGAGGCTCTGTGTGTGTGTGTGTGTGTGTGTGTGTGTGTGTGTGTGTGTCTGCTGTCTCACAGTAACCATTGGTGTAAAGTCACTTCTATTCTCCCCCTCTATGAAAGCTGGAGTTACCCAGCCGTCCGACAGACAGTGAGAAGTTGCCCTGAGGCAACTAAAGCTTATTCAACCTTTACAAGTCAATAAACCAATGCTGCTGGTCTCTTCGCCAAAAATAACCAGCTAGCAGTGAGCAGACAGTAAGAACTAACAGTAGTAGTAGCAGTAGCGGTCTGTATGTGTGTGTGTTTGTGTGTGTGTGTGTGTGTGTGTTATAGGAGACTCTGTATTCACTCACAACTCTCTTCTCAAACACTGCTTCCAAAATGAATGGAGCTCTGAGAGCAACAACTCGGCGAGAAATGAGAAGGTACGTGAAATGACAAATGCATTTGGAGAGATGAGAAAGTAGAGAGATAATGGAAAATAATTTGGATTTGAGCTGTAATAAATCTTTCCGGTATAAAGCGACAGAAAAAAAGCATAGTTGTTGTCCCATGTGTGATTTATCATAAAGCGTTAAGGACTTAAATCTTGCATGTCCGGCAAGCTTACTGCCAATTTGTTGCTTACATTTGAATAGAGGTTTGCATTTTCTGTTGATTTAGGCATGTTTACCAATCATAAACACAGATGTGCACGAGTCCACAAACACACACTAACGCACAATATTTTAAAAACAAATATGAGGCTTTACTGTACCAAAACCTGCAATCTGATCTTAATCTTACACCACATTTCCCCGCAGTTGAACCATGCAAAGCATGTAACCCACAATATGTATGAGAAAACTCTCTAATCGTCACAAAACATTTCTGGCAAACATGAAAACTGGACCTGTGCCTGGAATTTTTAAAAGCCAGGACAGGTTTAAAACTGTTCATGTAGCTGGCTGGGACACTTATGGTGGGTAGTCTTACTTATCCAATTGACTCATCCAGATATGATCATCTATCGTATTTGAGCATACTTCTTTCCTTGAGGTATGAACCCCGCAATAACTGACACTGCGTCACCTTCTCCAGCAGGGGTCAGTGTTACTCCTATAAATAAAGCCTGTTGCTATGGCCAACAGTGTTAGTGGGAGCGGTGTCACCAGCGTATAGTAATGTGATCTGGAAATGGATAAAGATAAAGACATGGAGAGAATCCTGCACCAGACACACCCTCCACCCACACAGTGAGTCCTGCCCAACACACGTGCGTCAGATTCCTCCACGCCCTGGCACACACTCACATTCAGACTAAAACTCAGATGCATGTGCACACACAGACGACAGATTTGTAAACATGCACACACACTTCAGTGAGCAACACATGCATGGAATCTTCCCTTTAGTCACTAAAAAACACATACACATAGAAGAAAAGCACGCTTCCTTCTACTGCATATCCTTGCAAACCCCAACAAGCCCAGACAGCGCAAATTCAATCTGCTGTAACAACTGTCACACAGTGTTTTTTGCCCTGATCTGTAAGAACTCCACTCACACCACAGCAGTATCGTAGTGATGCGGTATGCAATGCACTGCTCTGAAAACAGTTTTAATCTGCCATTAACAGAACATAAGCCTCGGACGCGGTATGTAATGGCCTAAATGTTTGCAATACTGTGAAAGGTTATATACATGGTCATGCATGTCTTTAGCTTCTTGTGGTGTGAATTCCACCACACCGTCTCCTCTTTCTAGGGAATCTGATAGCTGCGCCATGATTATCTCCCTTATGACTAAAGGGTTTACTTCTACAAAACAAAATTCTTCTTTGTCACCAGTGAGGATGAACTGTGATATATAGAAGTAATGCAGTAGGCCAGAGAACAGGAAACATTCATATCAGATAGAAATGCTATCTGTAGGACTTTCTGATTTAGATTTTAGTATTAGTTTAGACAATGGTGTATATATAAAAAAAAGTGGAAATTACTAATGTCCGTAGATAAGGAATCTTTTGGGGCCTTCGGCTTCCTGTACATTAGTGTATTGTACTGTATTTGAATAGGCAGCTGCATGGTGTTACGTTGCGCTGCAGGATACACATGAAGAAAGACAGAGACAGCCGCCTACTGTTTAAAGAAACTCAGACCACCACCACTCTAAAGTGGGTCCTGTCCTCATGTGAGCTGAAAAATGAGAGGAGCAGTGTGGGAGGAGATGAGGATAACTTCTATAAGCGGATGCCAAGCCGGCGTGGCAGTTGCAAGGGCAATGCTAGGGTAAGGCTAGGGCAACAGCGGTCGATCTGCCCACCAACAGTTCCACACCAACAGGTCCAAAATGCCTCGGCGCCAGTCTGCACCCTCCCCTGCAGTCCTCCCTGGGCCAGTGGACGGACTTCCTGCAATTACTAGAATCTGAGATGTTGCTCCAAGAAACATCTCAATGTTGACCAAACACACACTGGACAGTGGGATACAAGGGTTCACCTGAACCGTTTTATTCCCAACTACAGCTGCATCAAATGAGTCTTCTTACAACGTCTTGAAATACCAGATTCTGATTCACCACCAAAATCTAACCACATCGAACTCTGCAGATCTAAAAAGTCAGTTTTCATCACCAGTTAAGAGGCAGATGTAAAAGGGGAAAACACTTTAACTTAGTCTATAGTAGTGTCAATACTAATCTGTCTGTAAAATATTAAAGCACTTATATAGATGCCAAGTAAAAAAAAAAAGGTTTAAAAGACTGGATTGATGTAAAAATCTTTATGCAAAACTGTTTGTTATTGTGAAAACATTAATACTGCTAAAGGTAGGTGCTAGTATGACCAGCACATCCCGGTTTTACAGTGTAAATAATGATCTGTGAATCACTTCAGGTCATGTTAGGTTGAGACAGTCATTGTTATTTTAAAACATTACCAGTATCAGCTACAGAGGAAACCCCAGCTTCCTGCAGAGCTCATCCTAAAACAACAAAAGCTTTGTTGGCCTAGATGCAGACAACTTACCCATGAGTCAGGCTATATCAAATAAGCCATCTGGAAAAGGTAAAAATCTGTGCGTGTTGAGCGTTAGTGAGTGCGTGCATTGAATCTGTGTGTTCATTTGTACATGTGTGTATACTTTGGACGCGACTGGCTAGTTACTGCAGCTCTGTTTACATGGCGACCTACATAACAAGCAGCTTTACCTGGCTCAAGACTTCAGAGGGGGGAGGGGGAGAGGAGGGGGAGATGGACTAAACAAGAAAGAGAGCAGGGGAAAGGTGGGGAAAGGTGAGCCAGTTCCCTCCCCAGTCAGAGAGAGAACTGCCATGGCTTCAGTGGAAACTAGGAAGCCGGAAGATTTGAGAGAGCAACAGAGAGACACAGAAAGAGAGCAGCCTTAGTATGACTAATGGAATCAGTGGCCCCGGTAGTGTAAACATAACCAGAAAAGTGCTGGCTGTCAGTACAGTACAGTGCTCTCAGCTGCAGCGAGGACCGCAGTATGTTCAAAAATGTTTAAACTTACACAGCTGAAGTGTACACATAAGAGTCTGCATTATTTGCTGAATTGGAAATGTAGTAAAGATACATATACACACACACATATGTAGACCCCTCGCGTGGCCCCAGAGCCCACATGGTGAAGTACCTTCTTCTAAAGCATATGCACAGCTGTAGTGACAGCAGCTGTTCTTAACCAAATGTGAAACAGCAGTACCCAGCCAGGCTCTGCTAACTTTAATCAAATACAGCACCTGTTGGAAACATGGCTGCACTGCACACCCACACACACACACACACACACACACACACACACACACACACCCACACACACGCTGGCATACCCCCCTCAATTTGCTTTTGCTCAGTGGTTTTCTTTGCAGTGTGCCTGTGTATTTGTGTGTGTATCGACTGTCTGCACGCATGCGGCTGCCTACGTGTGTGTGTGTGTGTGTGTGTGTGTGTGTGTGTGTGGACGTTCCCTCATGCTTGTTAAATAAAGAGAGCAGCTGTCCTTCATCCACAGATCTCGCTCTCATCTAATAACGCTGTTTAGTACGTCAACCAGCATGCATTATGGTCGCCATCCTTGTTGCTCCGGCTGTACCTCACATATTGTTCTGCTCAGTGAAACACCAATTGTGAAGCAACATAGCCACAAGTTAACCTTCAGTGGGTAATATTCAAAAATCAGGTAGGCTCACCCAAAACAGCACGTGTTGTCTTGTGTTAGTGTTCACAACAGAGAGAGGGAGATGTAAAAAGTATTTTAAATCAACTCTACTCAGCACCTCCACCTGGTGGGAGAAGAGTATATTTTATATGAGTCAAGATTCAAGGGGACGGACATCTTTCACTGAATTCATTAAAGCCTCATATGGGTCAGCTAAAGCTGCTATAAGTCATGAGTCCGAGCTGACTGCGGGCCGTGTCACGCAGACTGTCATGAGACATCAGATGACCCAGCTGCAACTGGAATGAATGTGGACACGTCATCCCCTTTAAGCTCCATTCTCAGTCCCTGTGTGGCGGATGGACAGTTTCCGTTGAGAGCGTCACCACTGTTGATTCATGTGGGAAGAAAACACAGGAAACAAAGGCACCCTTGCACATCGGCATCAACACCAGATGGGGAGGAAAATTAGCAAGGAGTGAACTGAATTGATTTTTTGCCATGATGCTACATGTCCATATAACATGTAGGACTCTCTTTGTTCGGTTTTAAATACAGTTTCATAACATGTGATGTGAGCCAGTAGAAGCCAATAGACCACGAGAAGATGATGCCTTTACTTTACCACAATCATTATTATTTATTTTAAATATGCAGACTCTGTGTACTGTCATGAATATTGCATGGACTGTGTAGCAATCAACCCATTATAACTAACCTAAAAAAAAGTGTTGAACATTTTATTTAAACTGACAAAACTATTAGAGGTACTCTCACATACAGTACAGAAACTCCAGTGCACATATCTACTATGGAAATGGCATAGTTGTTCGGTAGGAGAAGGCGCATGTCAGAGATAGCGTCACAAATATCTGTTACCACACTAAAAAGACTCGCGTTGACTTTATCTTGGAATATATTTTTATATTTTTTGGGGTCGAAATTCAGGGTTTTAATTGGGCTCTCAACCGCTGCCGTGGTTCGGGCTCGGGTCGGGCTTGGACAGAAATGATGCAGGTTCATGTCGGGTCGGCCCTAATGTTTTGGACGCGATCATAGCACTAATTTGTGTGCACACACCCGTAACATCATATGCAAAAGCACACAGGCAAACATACAACTACAGACTAGAAAGTATAAATGCAGTTTTAGTCCAGTGACCGTTCACTCAAAAACAGAAACATACACAAAGTATGTCCTGCTGAGGCCATTACAGCTCCCTAGAGGAAGCACCTGGAGACAAGGGGCCAAAACGAGAGAGAGAAAGGAGGGAGGGTGGTTCCTCCATCACACACTTGTCAATGATCTCACCTACATCCAGATTTCACACACCGTGTAGGTGCTACAAGCTATGCTAGGTCACAACCACACACATGCTGCAGGCGCTGCTTCGCCATTTCTTTTTTTTTTACAGCAATGACCTTTTTAACAACACACACTAACGCTCGTAAAAATAACCATTAAGAAGCAGACAGCATTGCCTCACTAATGACTTCAGCATAATCTACACACCGAAACACACACACACACACACACACACAGACAAACTCTTATCAATTCAATATGCATTTTGTTTACAGGATCCAACAGGGAGAACAACAGGGAGAAAAAGTAAGGATTTTTATTTCAGCTTGCTAGTAAACTGAAGCAGGGCTTTCTCTCTCCTGTTGAAGGAGGGACTGACTGATGGCCGACTCGGGATCAGAGCCACAAGGGACAAGAGTAGTACTGTTCAAACAGAGCTCTTTCCTGTTTTCACACCAAAGAAGAATGGGAGAATACAGATGGAGAAAAAAGAGAGAGGGAGAGAAAAATGTCTAAGAAATAAGTGCTGTTTCTGTGTCACTTCACCACGAATCAGCCACTCAGGACGTTATTTTTCCCCTGGAATAAATGTCTTGCGATCGTTTAAATGAAAATATGTAAAGACAGGCAGACGGAGATGGGAATATAAAAGAGGTGGCAACTGAGCGACAACCTGTAAAGACAAAAACATTTAACTGGAAACAATGGGACAGAGGGGGGTGGAGATGGTGGGCACAAACAGAGACAGAAAAGCCTGCAAACATAACAGGCACGGGACAGATAAAGACAGATCCGCCAAGCTGCTGCACAAATCCTGCAGAGCTCCAGCTCCAAAAACCCCAAAGAAAACATGCAGTCAGCAAACAGGACAGAATGAGAGAGTGGAAAATACCATGTAGGGGAAAATAGAGGCAGGCTCTTACAGAATAGACACCCGATCACAGTGAAAACGCTGATTGAAGAACCATAAACTACACTTTGTTTTCCACTCAGAATAGAAGCATATGGGCTGAGAGTTTATCTTACCTGAGAATTTGTCCCCCTCCATAACCAGATCACTCCCACCACAGCCACATGTAGTGTCTGCACTTTGACTCCACACTCTTTCTCTCTCTCTCTCTCTCTCTCTCTCTCTCTCTCTCTCTCTCTCTCTCT